AATTTGTTGTTAGAAAATTAAGAACCAGATTTAGTGATCAAGTATAATAACCTTTTATTAAAAAGGTATTCCTTCTACTTCTTTTAGATAAATATATTTTTTCCCTATCCAAATTGTTTAGTGTACCTCTGTACTGGGATAATCGAATAGCTACTGCAAGTATTTCAGAAGTAAATCATACTTAATTCGTGGATACAATATTTGAAACCCTGTATTTCCTGCCTCTGTTCAAAAACCTAGTAGGAACCAAAAAAATAAGACATTTGTAAATTATTAATTTAAAAGACAACAGTGCTTCAGCAAAGGAAACAAAAAAGAAAACAAAAAGACAACCCACCAGTTGGTATTAGGATAAGGAATAAGGAACTAGTCTCTAAAACTGACAAATAGTTCATGACGCTTAACAGTATCAAAACAACCCACTCAAAATGGGCAGAAGACCTAAATAAACATTTCTTCAAAGAAGAATACAGATGGCCAACAGGCACATGAGAAGGTGTTCCATGTTGCTAATTATTAGAGAAATGCAAGCCAGAACCACAATGAGATATCACCTCATAGCAGCCAGAATGGCTACCATGAAAAAATCTGCAAACAATAAATGCAGGGAGAAGGTGTGGAGAAAAGGGAACCCTTCCACACTGTTGGTAGAATGTACATTGGTACAGCAACGGTATGGAGTTATCTTAAAAAATTAAAAAGAGAGCTGCCATATGACCCTGCAATCCCACTCCTGGGCCTGTATCTGGAGAAAAACAAGATCCAAACAGATACATATACACCAGTGTTCATTGCAGCACTATTTACAATACCCAATATCCAAGACATGGAAGCAACCTCAAGTCCATTGACAGAGGAATGGATAAAGAGACATGGTACATATATACAATGGAATATAACCAGCCAATAAAAAGAATGAAATAATTCCATGTATAGCAACATGCATGAACCTAGAGAAGGTCCTACTACGAGAAGTAAGTGAGACAGAGAAGGAGAAATATCCTAAGACACCTCTTATACATGGAACCTAAAAAGAATGAATGAAAATGAATTGACAAAACAGAAATAGACTCACAGAGTTGGAGCACAAGCCTACGGCTGACAGGGGTAAGGAAGCGGGGCAGGGACAGTTAGGGAGTTTGGGATGGACATGGACACACTGCTGTATTTGAAATGGATAACCGACAAGCACACACTGCATAGCACATAAAACTGCTCCATGATATGTGGCAGCCTGGATGGGAGGGGAGTTTGGGGGAGGATGGATACATGTGTAGGTATGGCTGAGTTCCTTCACCACTCACCTAAATCTATCACAACATTGTTTCTCAATCAGCTATACCCCAAGACCAAATAAAAATTTTGAAAAGTAACAGAAAAGATAATGGTGCTTAAAAGAATCTAGAGTGTCCAGTTAATAACCTATGACCCAAAGGAAGTTACTGAATCTTTTTACCTTAACTGATCCTCAATTTACTTGAGATAATTCCACATCTATCTAAATGAGTAGGAAGAATTAATACACAAAGAAGCAGACTGCCCAGCATGCTAGTTATGATGATGATGATGATTATATACAACTGAAGTTATAAAATATTTCTGTCCATTATCTAATTGATAGTCTTGTTACTGGTTGAAGAGTCTCCCACAAAAATTCATATGTTGAATTCATAATACCAAGAACCTTATTAAGTGACCTTATTTGGAAATAAAATTACTGCAGATATAACAAGTCAGTATATTAGATGTAATTAGTCATTACCAGGGTTAGATGGTATCATTAGGTTGGGCCCTAATCCATTATGACGGATGCCTTAACAAAAAGGGAAATTTGGACAGAGAAACATGCACCCGGGGAGAAGGCCATGAACAATGTAGGCAGAAATCACAGTGATGCTTCTACAAGGTGAGGAACAGCCAAGATTACCAGCAAACCACCAAAAGCTAGGAATGAGCCCCAGGGCCTCCCTCACAGCTCTCAGAGGGAACCAAGCCTGCTGACACTTGGTTCTCAAACTTCTAGTCACTACAACAAAAGATGATCCAATTTTGTTGTTTTAGCCACCCAGAAAGTGGCATTTTGTATAGCAGCCTTAGGAAAATTAAGAAAAAATAACAAAAACTACTACCCCTAAACTCTACAAGGGGGTTATTACTTTAGATAAGAAAACTGAGGTTCAGAGAGATGATGTAACCTGTCAAAGGTTATAGAGCTAAAAACGGAACTTATGGATTCAAACCTTGGTTCCATTACTCTAAGATCAGAGTTTCTTACAGTATAAAAGCTGAAAATTCTAAAAATCTATAACTGGAGTATAGGTATATGCTCTTTCTATATACTTTCTTATATCTTTAATGGTTATTTAGCTGCTAGAATAGTATAATAAAAAATAATCCCAACAGTTGACTATTCAGTCAAGAAAAAGAATGAGATTCACTGATTTCTACATTTTTCAATGAGAAACTTATGAAAAACTTACTCTATAATACTTTCATGCATACTAACATAACAAACACAGAAGAACTGTGAACACAGAAAAAGCCAAATTAAGAAGATATATGGATGATTTTTAGTATAATTATGATAAAACACTTCTGCAGTTATCTTTTTGATATTTAATGAACAAACCAATAAGAACCAAATAACAGTATGAAAGTAAAGGTAGGAGAACTATAAACATACTAGATTTCTAGTAGCCAAGGTGAACGTTAGCCACAAGATTCAGAAAGTCCACAGCATAAAAACAAGTCAATGGTTAAACATAAGTTTATCAAGTTTTGACAGCTGAAAAAATGTATTAATTCACTCTCAGGATAACCCATGGGCTATGACTACAGATTATAGACACGATCTTCTATTATATGGTTCGTATGTGGATTCTCAGAACAAACCAATGGCATGCTGCCAAGACAATCACAGATTAATGCAGGTTTGAAAGCGTCAGTCACTCAGTCGTGTCCAACTCTTTGCGATCCCATGGACTGTAGCCCACCAGGCTCCTCCGTCTGTGGGGTTCTCCAGGCAAGAATACTGGAGTGGGTTGCCATTTCCTTCTCCAGGAGATCTTCCTGACCCAGGGATTGAACCCAGATCTCCCGCACTGCAGGCAGATTCTTTACCATCTTAGCCACCAGGAAGCCCCAATACAAGTTTAAGAGACTCCAACACAATCAATAGCCACATGAACAGCTCTCAGATATTTAAGAACAAACTTAAAAAGAAACCCACTGTGGTTTATTCCCGTGTATGTGTGTGCATGCTCAGTCAGGTCCAACCATTGGGACTGTAGCCCACCAGGCTCCTCTGCCCTTGGGATGTCCCAGGCAAAACTCATCCCATGACGAACTGATCAATTTGAATCTAAGACCACAGAAATCTGATATCCTCTTATAAAAATAAAACTACTAGAAGGACCAAGTTTTTCTTCATAAAATCATTGGTGTCTGCTCTAACATCCAGTAAAATGGGTGAATAAGGCCCCAAAAGTTTGATCTCAGATATTGGTAACTGTCTTTACCTGTGAGCCCATACAAAGAAAAAAAAAAAGAAAAACATTAACAGAATGTTAATTTTTAAGCAAGCTGTTTCCTGGCAAATATAAGCCATTTAAATATCCAAGGCCTCCTGACAAATGGTTTTAGTTTTAACTTTATCTTGAATTATCCACTCCTCCACAGATTAAATCAAAGGATCAATCCAAGAAGAAGATATAACAATTATAAATATATATATGCACCCAACATAGGAGCACCGCAATATGTAAGGCAAACGCTAACAAGAATGAAAGGGGAAATTAACAGTAACACAATAATAGTGGGAGACTTTAATATCCCACTCACACCTATTGATAGATCAACTAAACAGAAAATTAACATGGAAACACAAACTTTAAGTGACACAGTGGTCCAGCTAGACCTAATTGATATCTATAGGACATTTCACCCCAAAACAATCAATTTCACCTTTTTCTCAAGTGCACACGGAACCTTCTCCAGAATAGATCACATAAATCGAGCCTTGGTAAAGTCAAAAAAATTGAAATCATTCCAGTCATCTTTTCTGACCACAATGCAGTAAGATTAGATCTCAATTACAGGAGAAAAACTATTAAAAATTCCAACATATGGAGGTTAAATAACACGCTTCTGGATAACCAACAAATCATAGAAGAAATCAAAAAAGAAATCAAAATATGCATAGAAATGAATGAAAATGAAAACACAACAACCCAAACCTATGGGACACTGTAAAAGCAGTGCTAAGGGGAAGGTTCATAGCAATACAGGTTTACCTCAAGAAACAAGAAAAAAGTCAAATAAATAACCTAACTTTACACCTAAAGCAACTAGAGAAGTAAGAAATGAAGAACCCCAGGGTTAGCAGAAGGAAAGAAACGTTAAAAACTAGGGCAGAAATAAATGCAAAAGAAACAAAAGAGACCATAGCAAAAATCAACAAAGCTAAATTTTGGTACTGTTCTATCAGAGTTGCTAATATAAAGAGGCACGGTTCTTCTATTCTCTAAATGCTGCATGGTGGATGCATTCATCCATCTCCTGTAGAAAGTCTTCAAGTCATTTGGATACAAAAACAAAGGATGCTACATATAGGGGTAGAAGAGTAAGAGTTACAGACTATTAGGTATAAGCTATAAAGATACATTGCACAACACGGGGAATATTTAGCCACTATTTTATAATAACCATAAATGGAGCATTACCTTTAAAAATTATGGTACACTTGAAACCTATGTAATATTGTAGAGCAACCATATTTCAATTAAAAAAAAAGATGTTAAATACATCCTCTTTTTAAAGGACTGTATTATTTATAGACTTTCAGTATCCATGCCTGTTCCTTTTCACATGCCTGAATTCCTTACTTAGAAACTCCAAATCTCAAAAACTAAAACTTCCACTATCTTTATTCTTTGTTTGTGCCCCTGCCATTTCTTAGCACCGTCTCCTCCACCCTACTCCCCATTCAGAACCAGACCTACCTCCTGTCTGAGTAATGACTTGAATGTCACTTGAAAGAGGACCATCTCCAATTGAGGTAAAAGCCAGGACTTTGACAGAATACGTTTTCTGGGGCACTAAGTTGCCTATAGTAGTGATCTGGCTGTCAGCTACATTGTGTTTCATCCAGTTGTTGACATGCTGAGTGGGATCCATTGTATAATAAACTCTGTATCCCTGAATCTGTCCATTTGGTTCTTCAGGCTCCTTCCACTGAACCAAAATGGTGGTGGAACTCAACATCCGTGCCTGGACGTCCCGCGGGGCACTGGACGGGGCTTGCTCCGAGGTCTGCGTCAGCACAGGCTCACTGGGAGGCCCCCGCCCAATGTTATTGACGGCAACCACCCTGAACTCATAATCCGAGTAGGGGCTTAGCCCGGCGACACTGTAGCGTGTTGTCGCCACTCCATCGATTTCTTTGTAAGGTTCCTCCGAATTTTTAGGTTTATGCTGAATGATGTAGTAAGAGACGGGCTCAGGGTTCCCGGAGTCCCATGTCAGAGTGATGCTTGTAGCTGTACTCTCAGTCACGACAGGAGTTCCTGGAGGTTTGGGTAAGGCTTGAGGGAGAAAGAAAGGCCATGAACACCCATCATCTTTAAGATAGCACAAGATTCCATAACTCTAGTATCAGAATGATGGGATATGTATCCAGCGAAGATTTAATTAGGTGAAATCATAGCAAAGTACAGTTTTCTAAGTGGCCAGGATGTCAGTAAGACATGCGTAGGAGACAAACCCCAGATGACTAGCAGTGTACTATACAGCATTGCATTTGGGGGCTGGTAACGAAATTCACCACTTATTACTATGAGATCCTGGATACAGTGCTTAATTTCAGTTTGCTTTAGTTTTCTCATGTGAAAAATAGGAAAAAATGTATTACTGGAACTGTACAGTTGAGTAACCGTATTTCATGAGTTTGTGGTGAAGATTAATGAGCTAATCCAGTAATGCTCTTAGAATGTATCTGGCACCTTGAGAAAACAGTGGTTCCAATTATTACAATTATTATAACCAAAAGCTTAATGAGACTCTTGCTTCAAAAAAATGATACAACCAAATACTAATAAACATTGAAAAGAGCAAAATTTTAAATATAATGAAATGGTATTCAATTGCTATAAAAGTATTCATTTTGTTTTCAAGATGTATGACATAGACAACAGTATTGTACTTTTTTAAATAAATTATCTAACCAATAATTTTAAGGTAACAAAGAATAATAATTTCAAATTAATCAATTTCAAACTCACGCTTTTTTTACTTAATATTCAAAATATGTTGAAGGAACTAAATTAAAGCCTATCCACAAGTCTCTTTTTAAAATATTTTATTGTCACAATATGTATTCTATATCCAATATCAGTAATATCATATTACAGCTACATGAAAAACATTTCAATTAAATCCATATTTTAGAAATATTGTTCTTTTTTTAAGAAGAAAAGCATAACTCAAAGTGCTACTAAGAATAAAAGCCATCTACGCTGGTGGCCTCATAGTCAAGCACCTCACCTGGACAGTGATTCAGAAACGCAGTGGTATTAGGGAAGACAGGAGAATTTCACAAGCTGATTTTTTGGAGAAAACTCAGAAAGTAACACTCCTATAAACAGTTCTTTAGTACTCTTCTTTCCTTTTCAACTTAAAGAAAACACAACACTCCTTACAATGGTAACTCTTCAAGAATAACAAGCTTGTACTTAATCGCTGTTGCACCAACAATACCGAAAACATTGTCTAGGCCTGAGTAGGTTTTTAACAAGCATTGTAAAATGACTACCTGAATAAACGAGTCCTTTCTCTTTTTAAGGTGCTTTTAGTTTCGATTCACTTTTTGCCATCAAGTTTCACCCTCATGTTTTATTATTTATGTTGGAGGAGGAGGGGATAGGGAAGTAGCGAGAGTCAGGAAAACAAAGATAAGAAATTGAACAAGATATTAGTTTAATGTGATTCCTGCTTTTGCATTCTTGAAGGTCTTTAGTAAATCTTCAAATATTTAAAGCTGACATGGTTAGTATGGGAAAGGTGATTCAATATTTGCATACGACTCTAAGAACCATGGAATGATAATATTTGGCCAAGGGATTTTATGGAAAATAATAATAAAAAGACATTTGTTTAAATATTCTGGTCTGGCATTTTGCAAGAAAGCGGATAATCTGAATTTTCCCTAGATGCTTTTCTATATTCTTGAGGCAAGTAAAAATATTGCTAATTAAAGGTGTGTGTTTACTGATATTTAACAGATACTCTCAGTTACACGAAGTGACGCTGATTATACAGTACAGGTTTTGTGTCTATAATAGTATGCTTAGTACAGTAATTATATGTAATGAAACATTACTATTAATATTTTAAATGATGAAATATTGAAAACAGTGTGTACCTTGTTCTTATGTCACATTATTGATTTTATATGGTATATAGTAAGTATGTATATTTGGTCAAAGGTATGACACTGATTATAATATGTGTGGTCCATTTTTTTTTGGGGGGTGGGTCACAATTTCTAGAAGGGGAAGATAATTTGTGTTCATTTTGCAATAGTTCCTGACATCTGCAGGAATCTAAAGTTACTCTCATACTGACTCATTTTAGGAAAGTTTTCTAAAATTATATAAATACTTGTGTAAAAAGAGCTGGTTCCCTCACATATTCATTTCCCCTCCTTTGATTCAAAAGTAACCAAGGCATATATTTCTTTGGTTAGAGTCAGTACCCTTATTTCAAGAAAAAAAAAATTTGTTTAGCACTTCAACTACACAAGGTGAGAGATGAAGCTAAAACAGAATATAATCACACTTGCATTTTGCATTTTAATGGTAGGGTCTATCAAAAATTTAAAGCATCTATTATTAGATCATGTTGATTTCAACTCTCTTTTTTTTTTTCTTTTTTGTCTTCTGGGATTTTGAGCATTTATTAACACTTACTTGGATTTTTCTGTTATGTACCTCTTCTCAAGGTTCTGGATGAATATAAAACCTGTACACATCATCCCAACCATTACAGCTGAGCATGTTGAGCATTCCTCATCCTGCCCTGTTACTGCCTGAGCCTGGCTAATGCTTAAATATTTTGATAATTATCATGACTTAGGTTGTCAATACTTCTAAGAGAGAATCTGCCTACCTAGAAGATATGTGTATCTAACGTGATACCACAAATAAGATTGGGCTATGATATGTGAAACACTGACCAATGAACTGATTCATTTTAGGATTCCAAGAACAGACTTTGTAGAGGCATTAGTCAGTTGATGTGAGGGTACCCAGATCCTCCAAGCATGAACTACTGAGCATACCTTTGACAGTGATCTGTGCTATTGCTTCAATGACACCCAGTGTCGACATAGCTAC